CTTTGCTTAAAGGTCCTCAGTGACATTTCTGACTAGAAAGTGTACTCTAAATTTCTTAGTACAGCATACAACTCCCATCAGGATCTAGTTCCTGCATACCAGCACCAGAAGGTAAGGCACAACCAAACATTTTATTAAGAACGCATTGTCCTGTAGTGGTTAAAATGAGCTGTGGAATCCTGCTGCCCGGGCTTTCAATCTCTACTTTACCACTCCACACCTGGCTGAGAGACCTTGGATGAGCCCACTTAACCTCACGATGCCTCAGTCCCATCATCTGTAAAATGAGAACAATGACTTCCTAATCATGAGGTTGATGTGCAGTTAGCACAATATGTGGCACTTAGTCTGAACTCAGTGATTGTTATCTATTATTATTTTAATTATTTAAAAAATATTACTGGGGTGAACCAGGAGTGTAGCAACAACAGGAGAGGACTGAAATTGCTAAGGGAAGTGGTCCCCACGAAGGAGGTCCACTTCTCTGCGCAGTTTCACTGAGTCCAGATGTCAGTGAAAATACCCAGATTCTCAAGAGAGAGGTTCTGAGGTCTTTGAGGCTCTTTTGATTAGAGTGAGGTGGATCTATAATCAGGCTCCACAGTGTTACAGGAAAGAAAAGACACACACGCTTCTAAAGTGAGCCAGGAAAGCTAACTGTGAAGGAAACAGGAAAACTCAAGGACACAGCAAAGATGGTGAATAATTTCATATTTGTTTCTCTGATAAACCTTGAGAAAGTTAAAGCTGACTACTGATTAAATATGAGAGTCCTGGTGCGATGAAGCTTTGAGTAATGATGGGAATCAGGTTCCAACCTCCATCACAAATTAGTTATGATCTTGGGCAAATAACTTTACTGCCTCAATTTTATAATCTGTAATAGAGGGCTACACTACTACATATATACTTGTGTATTTATTGGTACTGTGTCTATTATGTGTGAAGTATTAAATACATGGCAGCTATTATTATTATTGGAAGTATATTTGTGCTGTATAGAAGGAAAAAATACTATGTAGATTAAAAGTCTTTACCAAAGTGACTAACTTTTGAAAACTCTACTTCTCATCTTCTCTATCTCCCTCTGAATTAGTCCCAATCCATTTTTACCTACTCCATCTTTGGGTACAGCAGGGAGTCAATATCTATAAAAAGTGGTAACTGCCACCCACTATAGCAGAAGGTAGCAGTCACTTGTTTTGTTTCTCTGCTATATTCTCAGTGCAGCGCGGGAAGTCAGAGTCTTGTTCCCTTTTTTCTACACAAGGTGGCTCATTCTGGTGCTTCAGCTGTTAGTTCAGATGTTACCTACTCAGCCCTGGACAGTTTGGTTCAGGAGTTAGAGCACTGTCCCACAGACCAAAGGGTCACAGGTTCATTTCTGGTCAAGGGCATGTACTCCAACCCTGGTAGGAACATGTGTGGAAGGCAATCAATCTATGTTTCTCTCTCTCTCTCTCTCCCCCTCTTCCTTCCTCCCTTCCACTCTCTCTAGAAATCAATGAAAAAAATATGCTTGGGTGAGGATTAAAAAAAAAAAAAAGAGATCCCAGATGTAACCTACTCAGAGAACCTTTCTGCCCCACTCTAAAGCTTTTCCCTCCTCCACCCTGAATACTCTCAAGCACATCCCATTGTTACCTTCAAAGCTCTGGGCTTGTGGTGAATGCTGTGATGTGCCACCCTGATCGCCCTTAGGAAAGGCACTTCCCCAGCTCCTTGGAGTGCCCTCAGTGGTCAGTCCTCCTCCAGGACTGACTAGGCTAGCCGTGGGCAAACTATGGCCCGTTTGAAATGAATAAAATTATTGAAAAAAAAAGACCGTACCCTTTTATGTAATGATGTTTACTTTGAATTTATATTAGTTCACACAAACACTCCATCCATGCTTTTGTTCCGGCCCTCCGATCCAGTTTAAGAACCCATTGTGGCCCTCGAGTCAAAAAGTCTGCCCACCCCTGGACTAAGCTAAAGAGACCTGAAGCTATGCCCCCTCCCCAGGGCAATGGCTATCCAATCAACGCAGGGGTAAAAGCCTTGGCCCAGCGGTTCTCAACCTGTGGGTCGCGACCCCTTTGGGAGTCCAACGACCCTTTCGTAGGGGTCCCCTAAGACCATCGGAAAACACATATATAATTACATATTGCTTTTGTGATTAATCACTATGCTTTAATTATGTTCAATTTGTAACAATGAAATTGGGGGTCACCACAACACGAGGAACTGTATTAAAGGCTCGCAGCATTAGGAAGGTTGAGAACCACTGCCTTAGCCCTTCCCTCCAACCTGGGACAACTTTGAAGGCCCAACCCAGCACCAGTGCTCCTGAGACAGGCCTTCCTGGGGACTGCACTGCAGCTCACCTTTCCCATCCACCCCATCCTGCTCGCTTTCTTCCTAGTGATCCAAAAGCCCTTCCTAAGGAACGTCCTACCCTCAAGTCTCCGGAGAGCCTGCTTCCTAGTAACCCAGTGGTTCTCAACCTTCTGGCCCTTTAAATACAGTTCCTCATGTTGTGACCCAACCATAAAATTATTTTCGTTGCTACTTCATAACTGTAATGTTGCTACTGTTATGAATCATAATGTAAATATCTGATATGCAGATGGTCTTAGGCGACCCCTGTGAAAGGGTCTTTTGACCGCCAAGGGGGTAGTAATAACCCAACCTAGGAGAACCTGGAAATATCACCTTCCCTTATCAGTGGGCTTGTTTACTGTTTCTTTTCCCATCGCTAGAATATAAGCTCCACGTGGTCAGGGACCATGCCTGTTTTGGTCACTGCTGTATCTGCTAACTCAGATATATATATATACATACACACATACATATATATGCGGTAAGTATATGTAAATTATATAGTGTACATATATATTGCACAATCTATATATACAGGATGTCCCCCAAAAATGTATACACACTTTAAGTGATAGTTCAACTCTGAAAGTGAAATGCATTTTTTTAAAAAAATATATTTCTTTATTGATTTCAGAGAGGAAGGGAGGAGAGAAACGTCAATGATGAGAATCACTGATTGGCTGCCTCCTGCACGCCCCCTACTGGGGATCAAGCCCGCAACCCAGGCATCTGCCCTTGGCAGGATTCGAACCTGGGACCCTTCAGCCGGCAGGCCGATGCTCTCTCTATCCACTAAGCCAAGCAGGCTAGGGCGTGAAATGCATTTTAATAGACACTGCCTTTATCATTACTCAAAGTGTGTGTATAATTTTGGGGGGCACCCTGTCTTACAGATAAACGGCCGATGTTAATGAATGAATGGAACTGCCCATATTGAGAGCCTCTGGAAGCAGTCACAGGATTCCGGGCGCGGTCCCCGGGAGGGAGAGAGGAACCCGAGCTCGGGCGGCCTTCTCATCCCCGTAACCTCAGAGCGCCGTGAGCCCTGCTGCTGCTCGCACACGGGTGGCCCCACCGCGCTCGATGCGCACGGCTCTGATGTCCACGTCCACCTCCCGGATGGGCACCGGCACACGGCGCGGTCCCAGCGACAGAGGAGGGACCGCCGGGTCCCCGGGTCCGGCGAGCAGGTGGCGGCGCAGGTGCGATGGGTGCTCCCACCGGAACGCCTTCTCCGTGGAGCTCACGGCGCGGCCATGCAGATGGGAGGCCGAGGCGGCTCTACACCGGGCCCTCTCCCAGGACACGGGGACGCGCCTCCCGTCCACATCCCGGCCCCGGACGAGCATTACAGGTACTGCCTCTCGCCTTTTTAAAGGTAGGTCTGGAGCTTTCGGAGGAGCCGGCTCCCTCCTTATCCCCGCCCCCAAATATCCTTCCGGGAGGTCACCGGTGACCTTTCGGAGAGCGGGGAGGAGGCACCTAGCAGCCACCCGCCCCTCTCTTCCGCCGGGTACAAAGCTGGCTTTTCCACCTGAGATTCCAGCGCGGCTCTCACCTGCCCACCAGCCGCCGCGCCTCGC